CTTTAGAAAAGGCTTAAAAACTGTCACTTTTTTGTTTGCTATGCAAAGAATGATTAATTTAATTAGTGATATATCACCTCAAGAATCCTTTCAATTTCCAGGTGATTTTTCTTCTTCTCCAAGGACACTGTCTCATTTCAGCATTTCCCAGTAAATATCTAAGAGTTTACCTGACAGGCAGCCAGATAAAGGGAGGCTGTCAAATGATCTCCCCACAACAGGAAACGCATTTATATGAAGCACTCCTACAGAGTGAATGTGTATTGTGCAGGAGTGGGTTGGAGGAAGATGACCCATTCTTTTGATTCATATCTGCAGGGTTCTGGAATTTTGCTGAACATTTGCTGCGGTTAAATAATTATTAAATTGTCAATATTCCAAGAAAAACAAAACACGCACTTGATTTCACTGTGAAAATCATGCAAAATAGCTAAGTGTGCTGTTTGTGTTTGATTTTGTTGGACAGCACAGAGCAATGAAATCACCAACTGTCAGATGTAACATGGCAACCAAATGCTTGGAGGCTAGAAGTGTTCTGTCACTGTCATGCTGCGGCTAATTCATGCCAGGAATCCTCAGGCACATCTGAGCAGCGGGACACAGCGGATATTATCCCACTGCCTCGGTGGAAAATGCTCTTCAAGGCAGCTTGGTGATGGTGCAATGATGGGATCCCAGGTGTTAAACCACCAGCAGCACTCTGAAGCATGCACAGAGCCTTGGCTGTGTTATTCCTCCAAACCCATCATGGAGCAGTGCTTGTGCCTGTGAGGAGCAGGGGAAAGCCAAAATGCAGCTGCTGATGTAGAGGTGGGTGAGGCAGGCTGAAGGCAAGCCCTGGCAGTGAGAAGGTTCAGGAAGGAACCACAGAACCATAGAATATGCTGAGCTAGAAGGGATCCACTAGGATCATCAAGTCCAGCTCCTGGAACTCACAAAGTAATTTAGTGGAAGTTTTCTGCCGGGCTTTCAGGTAGGCTTTAGATCAGGCTGCAATTGGAGCAGCCTGTGAGATAAAAAACCAGTTTTCAAAGACTCCTTAGAACTTAAAGGAGCTTTTGCCTAGGATGTCTGTTGAAGGAATGGGAATCCCACTTGCAGTCCCATCTAAGGTGGCACTTGCAGCTGCACCTTCTGGACAGCAAAGTCAAATCCAGCATATCTGGACTACCTCCTGCTTTTTCACTGATCTGCCTTCCTGATGAAGTCCCTTCTATGGGTGAAGTACATGCTGGAACCAGAATTTTGGACCAGCTCTTTGCATGGGGTGTCTCCCCAGATCCCTGCACAGGTCCAGCCAATGGCCTGGGCTGTGCAGCAGCTGCCCCTTGGGATGGGGAGGAGATGGACAGACCTCCAGGACCTGGTACATGAAGGGCAGGCGGGCACGTGGGCACCCATCACGTCCAAGTTTCCTTCCTGATGTTAATTCTCTGTATGCCCATCCAGAAGGACTAAGATTAAACAGGACTCCATTTCTGACACAGTGAGCTCCTGCTCTGCACAGTGACCCAAACAAAGCCTCAGAGCTGGCACTGCATTCCTGCTGGCAAGCTCAGAGTAAAGCACCCAGACAAGAGGTGTCTCAGCTCTGCAGAGGGTCTCAGAGCTGCCCTTACCCCTCACATCCTTTATCTGCAGCATTTAACTTGCCAGCCAGCTAAAGGAGCCGCACACACAGACTAAAGCAAGAGGGGATTTGAGCTTTCCATACCTCACAGAAAGTCTGCTAGACCAGATGCAGCCAAGGAAATGGATACAAAAGAGAATTACTAGGAGACTGTGCTTAGTGATTTTCTTAATTCAAGTATACCTAAGGCCCAACTTTGTCCCTCAACTTTGTCCCTTCAAAGCCCACTGAGTCCAGGAAAACTCTCCAGGCTCTAATGTGTTTTAATAACTTGAGACTCCATTTAAACTATTAACAGTATGTCTCAATAAAATGAATTTTATACTCTTAGTTCGTGGGCTGATGAATAACAAAACCGATAAAAGATTTGGCCTGAGCAAATACGCAGGTCTATTTACAGATTTACAAAGGAAACCTTGCACAGCACCTGCCCACACGTAATTCTGGCTCCTGGCACTACTTTAAGGAGTATTGAATTCCTTCCCACCCACACATCTTTACATAAGTAGAAACTTAAACATCAATTCAGACTAAACATTTTTGAATGCAGAAACCCGTGAGTGACATGAAGAGAAACAGTGGTGTAAATGAACCTTTAATTTTCATCACATTCAATAACTGATGGGCTAAACCCAGAGATTTTAAACAGTGTACAGTTTATTTGAAGTTATTGATTCCCACCTCCAGTAAATTCCTATGCTCCATCAGCACAAAGTGTTTTCATTGGAGGCTGAGACCATCACTAGATGTTACTTAGCAAGTGGAAAAAACCTTCTGTCCTGAATAGCTGTCCAAAAGAGGTGCCATGGAGAATGACTTCCAAATTGCCACGTGAAGAAGGGCAACCAGCAACAGGATATTCCAGCCTCTGGTGGGCCAGGGAATTTTTTCCACTCAGCTATGTAAACACAGTCTATGAAAAGTGGCAAGGAAAGGTAGCTCAGTATTTATATCACTGCAATTATGTACAGTTTTCATAGAGTTTGGCATCAGCTACAAATTTTTAGGACTCCATTGATTCAGGATGCATTGCAAATCACCATGCAAGAGCAGTGATGGATGAGAGATTAGATCTTGGTCACTGTCACTAATATCCTGTGTATGAAAAGAAAGATGACAGTCTCTGAACATATCAATAATAACAAGAGTTTAATAAAGAGACACCTAATAGTGAAATGTTTCCAAGAAATTATCAATTATATAGTGACCAATTCCACTATATCAATGTGACTTCAGGAGAAGAAGTCAAAGTAAGACTGGGCTCTGAGCTTACCACAGTGTTCAAAGGACAAAAAGCTGATGGTTTTGTCTTTTTGTTCAGATTCCTCCTGGTCTTTTGCAAGACAGCAGCAGTCTGTCATCTTTTTCACTAATTACAATGTGATACCATATTAAAATATCACCACTTGTAATCTGTATTTGGGTACTGCAAGACAATGAGAGACTTGGGACACCTCCTGGCTCATCTCATAGTGGCACTGAAAGGCAGATGAAATCCACCACTGCCTGACAGCAGCAACACAATTGCAGAAACACTGGCAAAAATCAGCTTCTAACACTACGGAAAAACTCGATGAATTAACTAAGGTGAAAACATCCACAGTGTTACAGGCAGATCACAAGGGAGGGCCATGTCCAAACTCCACTCTGCCAGGCTCAACAAGGGAACACCACACTGCAGACCAGCCAGCTCTAACTGTGTCAACTTCCATGGTAATTCCCACAGTATCTCAGAGAAATATTTTTGTTACTAAAAATCCAAAATTAACTACTGCAAAAACCAGAGCTGACCTCCTGGACCTAATTCATACTTCACACCATTTAACTTGCTGCAGCTGTACCAACTTCAGGGGAATTTACACATTAGTGTATGAGAAAGGAAAAGGAGATGGGTTGTTCTAAGAAAAACAACTTGAATCCTCAGAGCCAAACTGAACCTACACAAATATAAAAGAATGAGGATCTTAGTTGGTTTCAAGTTTATGAAACCTGAAGTACTTGAAGTCTAGATTTCAAAGGCATGTTCATTTTGCATAATTTTCCTGCCTCTTCTGAACCCTTTCCCTTGTAATTTATGCTCTATGTATTTTGAATTAAATAAAAATAATCAGTTTCTGGCACTGTTAACTGTGAAATGAATTCTCTAAGTTTCACTGAATATTAATAACACTTCTTTTGCATCCATTAAATATATGCATAAATAATCTACTGTCACAAACCTAAAGGTGGCATTGCTTAGAAAGAAAGTAAGATTAAGGTATTCCATACAATAAATGTTTGCTCTGTTTTTTATTTTTTTCTGCAGTCCACAGCATTTTATAAAAGGCTAGCCAGGAGTTCCATGTCATATATTAGTTCTTATGTTCATAAGATGCTTATATATCCCTCAGGCCCAGGCATAAATGTGTTAACAAAACACCACTCTAAAATGAGGCAAAACATCAGCCATCCATTTCCTCTGGCCCTGTAAGCTGCATCTGTGCTTCCTGATTTAATGAACCTGGATCTCCATGGATGGTCCTTATCATTGTGCACAAAATTTCCCACCCAAGAATAAAGAGATGGATACTTTATCAGTATCACTTCAACAGGCTAAACCATGATATGCTTACACTTCTCCAAAAAAATGTGAAAATGTTTTGTTCATCATATCTACTGAAAAGTATCTACGAGAGAAGCACTGAAACTTGTTTACAGTTTTTTTCTATAACAAGACAGCTGCTCCCAACTGGAGGACGGAATTACAGACCTCAATCAGTATCTTTGCTATAAACACCTCTAAGAGTCAGTGCATCTGCTTGATCTGAAGGGAATTTCCTACCCAGAGACTGGGCAGGAAAGGCAACACCATGAAATGAAGGAAGAATACTCCCTTTTTTATGAATAAAGTCTAAAGCCTTTATTCATAAAAAAGGAAGTATTCTTCCTTAATTTTAAAACTCTGTATTTTCATTTTTCAGCTGCTGAAAAGAGTCTTCTCGTTAGGCTTGCTCCAGGAAATGTTACCAATAAAAGTGTAAGAAACTGTTTGGGACCTGTGAGCTTGGCTAGGCCAACCTCCAACACAGGACAGGTCTACCTTTGAAATGAAGGCTATGTTGCTCAGTCTTCCATGTGAATTCTGAAAATCTCCAAGGACTGCGATTCCACAGCCTTTGCAGGTGACCTATTCCCAAGCTTATCTCACCACAGGCAATTTTTTGATCTCTCTTTTGCAGGCTGAACCGAATTCCCTCAACCAAAGCAGAGTGAGAGGAATAATTATTTCCCTGGACCTGCAGGCTCTTCTCCCTTGTAACCATTTCTTTTAGGACTTACCATAAATGCATTCTCTCTTATATATATTTATATCATTAAATATAACACTCACCAGCCACTGCTGAGGTATTTCTGGCAGAGGCATTTGAGGAGGCGCCGGCAAACTGTTGGCAACTTCTTGCTTCTGGACATGTTCTTTTATTTCTAAACCTGTGGAAGAGCAACAAACGTCACTTAGTACCTTGGTGGATGCAAATGGGGTATTTTTTCCACACATGGCTCCCATGTCTGACTGTCACACAGTGAAATCTGGCATGCAGTTCTGATCACAGCCTACCTCCCAAGTGCAGTTACTGAGGCAGGACTGGAAGAATGCTGGGAATTCAGGAATTTATTCAAGCAGAACAAACACATACTTGCTCTATATGATAATGACATATATGCTGTTTGGATCAACAAACACCAGACACTGAAAAAAAATAACAGGAAATCATTCTGAACTGCCCATCCATCTCAAACTCAAAGACTTGAACAACATTCAAACACGCTGCCAGGTGCCTGCCAGATAAAAACGTTTATTGGGGGAATATGCCACATTTGAAAACATCCCAGTGGCACCACACAGTGAATAAAACACAGCCTGTGGGCAGTACATGACCAGCTGCCTTTTTGCAATGGAGATGATCAACACCTGTTTCCATGGCACATTCTGGATGGGCAAGGCCATCATGGAGAAACAAGCCCAAACCATCTTTCATGCCAAAAGAATGGAGAAGAGGGTGGAAGAAGAGCCCCTACCTGCCTGCTTTTCCTGGAAGTGATGGTGACAGCTCTTTGGCCAAGCTCACATTGCCCATGTTCCCTGGGACCCTGCTGCCACCACCACCTCTGATCAGGGAGCCGTGGTGTGAGTCTAAGCTGCACAGGATGCTGCGACACCCCAGCCTGGAGCACTGCTGAGGGACACTGCCCTAACCAATTCACCATTAACAGAAATGCACACCGAGCATATTTTCCCACCATGTCCTTTTTACTAATTTTTTATTTTAATAACCTCGTCGTTTTCCAGGTGAATTTGATAAGGGAAGAGAATGAATGTGAAAGCTGCTTTGAGGGTCTTTTGTGCCATTGTTGCATCTCCCTCACAGGAGAAAAGAGGAAGGACTGACTCACTCTGTGTTTCTGGCACAATAATTTAAATCACAGTTGAATTCTCTTCATAGAAACAGGATATTGTTTATTCTTCTAAATATCAAAAGAAGATTAGGGTGCATCTCCTCAATGTTCTGGCAAACATTCAGACCATGGATTGTACCCTGCTTAACCCCAGATGGAATTTAGTTCCTAGTGTTTAGTTGCATTTTTAAAATATATATTTACACAGTCAAATGGATGCCTTTCGGTGAAGATCATGTAATTCTCAAAAATGTAATCAATGATGAAATGTTTCTTGTCATAATATCCCAGTCCCACTGGCTGTGAAGTCATGGGTTGAAAAACAACACTAATATATTAAACTGTCTCCAAAGACTACAGATTCTTCTTTCTTCCTACAAATCAAGAGAGTGATTAGTCTTGGGAAACATTCCTTTTTTCTTTTTTTCCAGTGTAACTTTCACTCATTGCTCTTCACATAGGATGAGTGGTGAGTCCATATTATAACTTCCATCCATGTCCAAGTCTCCCATGCTTTCCATAACAACCAGAAGTCATATATGAAGGGATTTTTACTGAAAAAACCCCAAAACTATTCCAAGTAAATACTATTGACTCTATAAAACTATTTTCCCCAGTTTTCATGTGTATGTTAACAAGAACCTGCTCTAACATTTAATTTCTTCTACCAATTTATACTGCAAAAGGAGTACAACAGGTTTAGGGCATCAGATCGTGTTAAGGAAAACACGCAGTGCTGACAGTCATATTTAATGACTAAATCCAGCAACAGTTCTTACTCCAAAATAAACTCTTTGTGTCTTTGTTTGTTAGAAAAAAGTCTTGAGTTTTAGAATGAAATGCCAAGTGTTTTCTTCAGACCTACACTCCACTGGGCATGCCAAGGCTCAGGAAGAAAAATAAGGTTTATAGTTTTGCCAGCTATTCAGAGTAACCACTAGTTTGGATGCAGGGCAAGTTGAGGCCAAGCAGCTACGACCTGAAGAACACATCTGCCTGGCCCAGTTCTCTCTGCTTGATAGATAGTAGATGAAGAAAACAGTGCTCATTTAGGGTAGATGTAACAAAACAAGGCAAAAGATTTCTAAAGAATTCCCCAAGTAAGAACTCACTCAGTTTAAAGTGTTTTACTTCCAGCCCATCACTATAATTTCCACACCTTTACAAAGAAAAGCATAATTGTTCATTTCCAGACATTCTAACAAAGCCAGCCAGTTCCCAGATCCATCATCACCATTCCCCATTGATCTTACATGGTTTTCTACAGCAATCAGAAAATGCTGTTGGATTCACCCTGTTGATTTTTGCAAATGCAACTAAAGAGCTTGAACTCAGCATAGTCCTCAAGCCTCTTAAACTGTGCCAGCAACCCAAGAGCTCTCGTGGAGTTGTGTGGGTGGAGTAAAACAACAATCTGAAAAACAGACTCCAAATGATAGCTCATCTTAGTTACAGAGTACTGTGGGTTTATGCATCTTTTATTGCTTTTAATTTTAATGAAGAGATGAATAGTTTCAAAGGGATGGGAGTACTGAATGTTATGACTGATAAAAAAAGGAGCAGGGTCGGCTCCAGTAAAGTACATGACTCTCTGGGTAGCTCCACACACGCTCCAGGCCAGGATGTGATGGCAGAGCTCCCAAGGAGGCAGTTCCTCTTCTTCCCTGCCTTGTTCCTGTCCCTGCCCCAACCTCTCCTTTGAGCCAGCATAAGCATGTGTGTGGCCTTAGGATGAACCAGACCAGGGAAGTGACACTGGTTAGGACTAAACCAGCAAAACAAAGCAAATAATGTTTGTGCTAGCAGAAAGGAAGAGGCAATACATGAGTAGCCTGGGGAGAGAAACTGGATGCTTTTTTAGAGGCCATGCTGGCTTAAATTCCACTCAACTACATAAACTAAAGTTTATAGATATATAAAGCATAGTCCTATGATCTCTTATTTAACTGAACTATGGGGTTTCTTTAACTCTGGTTTGAACTAGAGCATATCTTTTAGCAAAATATTCCATTTTGATAAGATGCCAGCAATGGCATGCAGTTCTCTTGCTAAGTTCTTCCATTAGTTCATAGTTCCAATGCTCAGAAGGTGCTTTATTTCCACTTTGAAACAAGCACTCAGCCATTGCACTTACTCTTGTGTAAGTCTAGGAGCTTGCGCTCAGTCACTACTTTTCTAAATAAAGATTAATTATGACACCTCATTTTGGTTAATTTGAAGGCGTATTTCTGGATCCTTTAATCACTTTTACAACTTTTCTTTGAAATGCCTACATTTGATCTCCTTGAAGGAAGGCACTAGAGGTGAGTAAAATGTTCCAGTAACAACTGCACTGAGCAAAGCCCTACCACTTAAAACAGGGATCTCATAGGGATCTTGGTGATGGATAGAACCTGTAATTGGATGAAATGGATCTTGTTACAGAGCCTAATAGGCTTTAAAACCTAAATGGTAGGTGCTGATTTGTGGAAAGCTATGGTTCTGCGGTCTTCTTATCTGTCACCACATGTAGAGACATGGACTGGACACACCCAGGAAGGTGCCCTGGCACACTGAAATTGATATTCACACAGTTAAGACCTCTCACTCTCAAAGTGATTTTCATCTGTCTACAGGGAGCAGATCTTTGCCCAAGCAAACTCCCACATCACGCCTAGGAACTGATGGAGGACACAAGTCTGCTCAGGCCAAACCAATGCAAGCATCACTCCACAATTTAACAGCATAAATAATTGAGCTCTAGAGTCCAGAAACATACTCAGTACTGTGAAATGATGGGGTTTTTGTCCTGGAACACCATCCACAATCCCAAAAGAAAGAATGTGACAATCTTTCCCCATGTTTTCAAAGCTGGCAAAAGAATGACACCTGACTTCTAGAACAAGTCAAATGTTTTTCTTAACACATCTAGTTGTAAAGATTGCAAGAAGAACATGCAGTGTCAGCCCAGCATTGCTGAGGTTATTTTGCATGCCAGTAAAATATTTATGTTTCTAAACATAAATTGCAGGTTCACCTCTACAGATTTTTGGGGAGTTTGCTATATTTTGATGAGTTTGAAGACTCCTTCCACAATATGAGAAATTGGTATCTACCTCGTTCTCTTAGCGTAAGGTAGAAACAGTGGTGGGTCTTTAAGAATGTTGAAATGGAAAAGAGGACAATCATTACTTTAAAGATCTCCATAGACTTGAATCCCACAGAAAAAAACAGTTTCTTTAATAAGGGGGCAACACTGCATCAAACAAGACCACATTTTTCTAGCACCAGAGAAGAAACAAATCAAGAGAAATACAGCTGCTCACAATGTGGCATTTTTCTTCAAAAAACTCTGGTATTTTTCAAAAATCTAAACTGGGGGCTTACACTGGCAGTACTTCTGTCAGATGAAGTGGAGACAGAGGTCTTAGGGTCCAGATGTCACTGCATACAGAAAAGTGTGGTAAAAAATATAAGGGTACTGTTAGAAAAAATAGTGAGGAATGTTCCTCACCAAAGCCCTGTGGAAAGGTTCCTGTACACAGTGAATCATTTATGCTGCACTCAGTTCCATAATCTTGATGGAGACAAGAAGTTGTGCAATAAAAATGGTTTTAGATAGGAAAAAAACAAGAAAGTGAGTCTAATTGCAAAATGCAATCCAAACATTCTGACAACCATTTCCTATCTCTGGCTTGGCACTCCTGTATCAGTTATGCACCAGACTCCACCTCAGTATCAGGGCTTTTGATGGATTTGGGTCATTTGACACAGATGAAACAGTGCTGTGGCCAGCACTCACTCCCTGGCATCAACACTCACAAACACCATTACTGGCACAAATTAAATGAAGCAGCCACTCCACCAGCAGAAGTGAAAACTTTCTACCTAGGCAGTAATTCCTAAGTGTGCCTGTTGCTGTATTTCACTGCTGGACACAAAGCAAAGCATTCAGGCAAGTTACACTTTGGCTTCACCCTGTCTTTCTGTCTTGCTTCAATTTAGGGCTTGTCTTCAGCTCTTAAAAGTTATTTCACTGAGCACAGACTTATTCTGTGCATTCTGCAAGCAAGAAAACACACCCCAGCACTGACCTTTTGATGACTGTATCCTCAGGAGAATGTTAGTTATTACTGCCTTCTTCTCCCTGACAGTGGAAGTTAGATATTCATGGTCCAGAAGTTCAAGAAACAGGCGCAGCTCAACTATTAACTCTTCCATGGCTGAAAGACAAAAGAAAATAATTACTTTTTCTGAAAAGTCCCATTGGAAAAAAAAAGTTAATTCTCATTAATCTACATTCGTAGTTTTTTCTAGTATTTCTTAAAAATGTATGGTCGTCCCTGATGAAAAGAAACTTTAACATTATTATACATTAAAGAACCAACAGAATAATCCATTAGTGAGCGCTGCTGGCATTTATAAGATTTATTTCCAAACTGAAAGACATATCTTTTCACATGCCGCACAATGAAGCCAGCACCAGACAAGTTATGTGCAGGAATGGTGGCCCCTGGCTTTTCTATCTGTGTCACTCTGGTTCCCCTCCCATTAACAAACTGCAAAACTTCTAACAGCAGAAAAAATTTAAGGCTTGGTAAAGCTTCCAGACACCACTGGTATTTTAATGAATCTTTCCTTCATCTTTTTTCTTCTGTTTGCTGTGGTAAGAGCAGGTACTCATTTCTTTGCAGTGATTTTTCTTTTTTATGATCTCCAAAGACAAGCTCCCAATCTCTCACATGTTTTTTTATCACTCCCCAGATTCCATGTTGTGCATTTCACATTTCATCCTATTCTATTATTCCAGATCTCAAAGCTTTCCAACTCTAGAAAAAATTACATTTCTTCTCTCTATTCCCAGTGCTTCTCAATTTTTTATCAATGAATTTCATAAGCACAGTTCTCCTTTTTTCCTTTGAAGTTATCCCTAAAGTCTTGCATCATCCTAAGAACTGCAGTAGCTCAGACCATACACACAAACACTTTTGTTAGCCTGATCATGTGATCTCTTCAGCAGGTTTCTGAGGAAACCCATGATATTGAACCACACTTTCATGCTTCAGTTCTCTCATAATTCTGAGATTCTCTGGTCCCTTTGCTTAAGGGGATGTACTATTTATAGTTTTGTATCCTCATTCCAAAATGCCTCCACTTAAATTTTTCTCTACTTAATCACATTTGTTTTTACAGTCTTTTCCAGGCCTAACTGGGCAACTGCTGCTAAGCCCCTTCAGACCTCTAAAAGGTACATTCTTTGCTGCTTACTCCCTTACCAGCTCTTCCCTACTCCTAAAACCTTTCTGATACAATTGTTTACCCAAGTGAATGTGAAATCCTTTCCTCCAATTCTGAGAATGTGTCAGGATGTTTAAACAACCCTTGTTTGAGGTGCATTTGCTTTATCCCACAGATGTCAGCTACTCCTGCAAGGGACTCCTGGCCTATTTTTGTCTTCAAGAAATGCAGATTTTCCCATGCATTTGGAGACTGTACCTATGCTCTGACTGATCTGGCAAAGCCAAAAAACTCAAAAAGCCAACAAACAGAAGATGTGCCAGTCAGCAATACCAGGGCATGAAAACATCTCAACAAAGAAATCCCTGAAGAAGTATGCTTGGGCAAGTGTTTTCATAGAATCATTTAGGCTGTAAAAGACTTTTAAGATCATCAAGTCCAACCACAGCACTGTCAAGTGTCGCAGCCATCTTTTATGAAAAATCCTTTCCTTAGGATTTTTCCTCCTGAGAAGCTGAGAGGCCTCAGGAACAAAATGTAAACAATGATTATCTACTGCTGTGGAATGCAACAGGTGGATCTGTGATTGGCCCATGTTGGATGTTTGTAATTAATGGTCAATCACAGCCCAGCTGGACCGGACAGAGAGCCCGAGCCACAAACCTTTGTTATCATTCCATTCTATTCTATTCTTAGCTAGCCTTCTGATGAAACCTTTTCTTCTATTCTTTTAGCATAGTTTTAATGTAATATGTATCATAAAATAATAAATCAAGCCTTCTGAAACATGGAGTCAGATCCTCGTCTCTTCCCTCACCCAAGAACCCCTGTGAACACGGTCACAGCCAAGTACACCACTAAACCCTGTCCCTAAGCACCACAGCCACGTGGTTATCAAGGACAGTGACTTCACCACTTTCCTGGGCAGCCTGTTCCAATGTTTGACCATCTTTTCACAGAAGACATTTTTCATAATATCCAACCTAAACATCCCCTGGTGCAAACTGAGGGCATTTCCTCTTGACCTGGGGTAAAAAACTGGCACCCACCTCCCTGCAACCTCCTTTCAGGTACTTGCAGACAATGGCCAATCAGAATCCCATTTCCTCCAGTCTGAACAATCTCAGCTCCCTTAGATACTGCTCCTTAAGACTTGTGCTCCAGACCCTTAGCCCTTAATTTTCTCAAAGAGTCTATTCATTTGTACATATAGTTCCACCCTGCCCAAGTTTTTCTTGGTGATGATATTCTTTTATCCAACTGAGCAGTAGTACTGCCATTGCATAAACTGCCCACATTTTCAGGAACTATGTTTCCCAAAGATTTTCACAATATATTGGCAGAAAGAGGGTTTTTAAAATGACAGGAAAACTGTCTGTGTTGCTTCACAATGCAGCTCATGAAAAACATCCCATGGCTACAATGGTATTTTTTTTTGCCATCATATTTGTAGCTGTCTAAGCTCTCTAGAAATCTGTCAGAAATCCAAAGTATTTCACAACAACCCTATTACTTCCAGAGTTGTTCAAATTATGAAACAACATGTATACAGCATACAGCTTTCTGAAGCACAAAGGCGTAGGTTCAGATTTGCAAAGTGGTAAGTGATCACAAGACTCTAGGAGAAATAAAAAGTCCATATGACCAAAGGAAAAAATTAATACCCAAATAATCAGCTCTTATCTTTTTCTCAAATTATAAACTTTAGAGACAAGATGTATACTCCATTCTGTGTATAGTGGTCTCCAGCTTTTAAGTATGCTTTGAATATAAAATGCATTAATATTGTTCATTTTAGTTATAGAATATATGAATATTTTAATAGTTACTTGATATGATATATGCTTTCAAAAGCTATCATTACCATACAATCTAGACAATCATTGTGAAACCTCATCAGTATGCAGTACAAGAAATGTGTATTTTTCATGTAGTTCTACAGACATATTTATTGTTAGTAATTGCAATTAGTAATTGCATATATTACTGCACTGATATTTCTCTGCAATGCCATGTTTCCTGATTTCTTTATGGCAGGGGCCTGTAAATAGGCTGGAAGGGAGCTCTGCCTTCACTTCTTCACTAAAGAATACTGTATGCCACAGTCACCTAATTTCTTTGCTGAGAACCTTCACTTCTAGGAAGGGAAAAAAGGATGAAAGCATCAGATACCTTTGATATGCAAAGTGTACACAACTGTGTTAAGTTACTAAAAATTATCAGAGCCTTCATCTCAGGATCTTATAATCTAATATAAACAGATGGATTGCACAATGAGAAATGAAAACAGTGAGTTACCAGGGAAGGAGACAGGGAAACAAGAGGACAAGAGATAGGAAACCACAACTGAAGAGACTTCTGGGAGCTGCACCAGCCCTGATCTTTCCTGACTGTACCAAATATGTAGCTTTTCTCTATGGCTTTGGAGGAAATCTGCATTGCAGTCCCTGGTGACCCCTTCCCATCGACCTACAGTGACCAGCCCACCAAAGGTACTGGTGTGGGAAACAGTAAAGGTAAGAAGATTTTCAGCAATTTAACTGCCCAGCAGAGGATTTTAAAAACAAAGCTTTGGTAAGGATGGATAAAAGGATGGGAAAATGAACCTGATACCAGTGAGGCAATACTTGAAAACACACCAAAGCACTGTCCTGGCAGCACAGTGGCACTCACTGCATGTGCCCGGGGCCAGCTGTCCAGAGGCTCAGAGGTCCAGCAGTGGAACACAGAGCAAGGCCAGACTGATGCTCAGTGCCTCACCCAGAACACAGAGCAAGGCCAGATTGATGCTCAGTGCCTCACCCAGAACACAGAGCAAGGCCAGACTGATGCTCAGTGCCTCACCCAGAACACAGAGCAAGGCCAGACTGATGCTCAGTGCCTCACCCAGAACACAGAGCAAGGCCAGACTGCAGCTCCTGCCCGGCCAAGCTCACAGGTGTGTCACACTGACTTCAGGCAGGCAGCCAAAAATGCAAATTCACAATTCTAGTGTGACAACAGAATGAAATTGTTAGCAGCTGCTAAAAAATGCTAGACGTGAACACTTAGACATTGTTTCTACCAGGAGTAAATGAGAGATGTATTTTCTTTTGTGGGAGTTAATAGCATCATAAACATTGAAGTGTGAAGGAGGAAAGTTCTGAATTTCACCTCATATATGCATTGATGTCAAACATCTGAAAAGAAAGGAGGGAAACACTGTTCCCAGCTAGCAAGAACACTCTTTCACATATCCTAAAGCATACTATCCTCTGTTAGTACTTTTGCTGCTTAAGGAAAGAGCAGAAAATACTGCCATGGAGTGAATTAAAATAAAGTACTGAAAACTCTTTTTTCCAAGACGAACTTGTATGTTCAGAGGAAGAAACAAGTTTCCCTGTTGTCAATTTGGCTGATTTTCTGGATTAAAAAATCTTATTTTCTCCTTCCTAGAAATGTGAAGATGCACTCACAAAAAAAAAAAAAAAAAAAAAAAAAAAAAAAAAAAAAAAAAAAAAGGAACTGAGTAACAGAAACAGAAAAATCTACATATTTTCAGTAAGCAATCATTATTTCTTAAATGGAGACTGAAAAAGTGTGGGTGATGCAAGCACCAAAGAAAAACATACTCCTCCAGTGAGAGATTACCCTTGGAAATCTGACATCACCACAAAGAAAGAATAATAATCAGAAGAAGGCTCTCAAAAAGGGGCCAATTTATTTGACAGTTCTGACTGTATTCTCATTGCCAAAGGAATTACTGGTAAGTGGCAGGTGGTGAAAGGCAGGGCGGAGCCCAGGGATGGTAATCACAACAGTAAGCTGATTTTAGCTGGACTGAGGAACAAAATCACATTCCATATTAAATGATGAGAAGTCCATTCTATGCTCAATAGGAATTATAGGCCCCTAATGGGCTGCTGTAATTGCCATGCACAAATAAAAAAACAATGATAAATCCAGAAGGGTTTCCAAGACCAACTCTCAAAAGAGTTTTAAAGTT